ACTAACACCCAGGCCCATAAAAGCAGCGGATCAAAGGCGCGCCGGGCAGCAGGTGTTGGCTGTCTCCTAAAACGGAAGCTTTCTCTGACGAGGGCGTCAATGAAGCTTGGGCATTCCTGCGCGAGAAACCACTTCAAAGCTGACCTCAGAATCCGGGATGTTTGAGGCGTGTGGGGCACCATGGAGCTTAGGGCATAGGTTTTGGACACAATTGATCATCGTGCTTAGTCCCTGCTGCTGAGGCTTGAACCTGAAAGCAAAGGTTCTTCGTCGTCTTCGGGCGCTACTGCCGAGTCGGGCTCTTTAAATGCCAGACTTGCGCCATGATTGAATTGCTTGACATGCCGAACGTGTTAACCTGTTGCTTTTGTTGTTTGAGGGGTGCAGGTAAGCTTGGCTCAGCTTCCTTTCTCGGAAACTGTTGATGAATTAGATAGAGAAACCACCCGATCCTCTGCCCTTATGATGACTGAATGACTGCTCCATACAATCCCTGTGAACGGCGACATTCACACGGGCGCAGAACACAGCAGTCAATGCTCAGGAAAGCTGAGCTAATAGAATCCACATGCTTCCAGTTCGGGCTCGGGGCCTCCCGGAAAGGCTGGTTTAGGGTTGGGATTGTTTTTCAGGTTTCAGCGTTCAGAATATATATTGGTTACAGCAGGAAGTCTCGGGGCGGCATTTGAGGGCTCATGCAATATCATTGAATAGGCCTATGTCGGTCTACAGTTTCACCGCGGCGAGGTCGGACATACCTGAGGAGTTCCGGTGTGTAATCACCAGGCGCATTTGTGAAGCTGCGGGCATGCTCTTCACACGGGCAGCCCTTCGGTCAGTTTTCGGGATACTTGTCAGCAGTTGTACAGGACTTGTCACACAACTGCTGCTTCGGAGCCTGGCTTCCTGATGCAGGGACCTCATGGAAAGGCCGGTCATCACCTCTGACGGACCCTGCCTCAGAAAGCGCGCGTGATCGGCACTCACAGCAGCCTGGGAGGGTGGCCATAGGATCTTGGAGTGGCACGTGTCTAGTGACTAGTGCGAGAATTCGTTCTCTCTTGTTCGACGGGGTTGTGCAGAGGGTGAAACAGCTTGCTTTGGGGCTGATGGAGCCCTCACTTTACGATAGTGTGCAGGTGTGGCAGCAGTACAGCAACATCCGGACCTGGAAACTACGCGATAAGTATTGTGAGGATTTGCCGGCTGCGGCTTCCGTGCTCAGGTCACACCTACGAGCGGAGCGCGATCGCCAAGTGGCTGGAGGACTCCGTCCGTCCTGGGCTGCTCAGTGAGCGACAATCACGGGAACAGAGCTGCTCCAGCCGGCAGCTGGCACTTGTAACATCGCTTTTCATCTGCACAACGAGGAGCACAGCACATCGCCCAAGACGGGCCAGGAATTGCCGGACAAGGCAGCCGAATTAGAGGATCAGTCTGGCGTTGGGGTGAGCAGTAGTTGCAGCTGTTGGATGTAGGGTGTCAACAAGTGCTGAAGGGTCAAACTTATATCTTGCAGCGGTGCAGCCTCGAGAACGGCGATGTGCAGCTTGGGACATATTGACTTGCTCCAACGTGTAAACTGGGCCGGACATTAAGGTTTCAGTCGCTTGCATACTTGGTCTTGCCACATGGCCCGAGCCGATGCCACATAAAAGTGAGGTGAGGATTTGCGGGTTGAAGCCCTTACCTCACAGCCGCAGTCGGGATAAGCGGAAGACTAGGAAGCCCAAGTAGGGTTCGCTTCCCCCTGGTCGGAGGTCTTGCGGCCTAACCACGCCCTCCGAGCTCAGATCATCGCATACCGGGACATCTGCCGGTGGGGTAAGAGGGGTGATAAAGCTGGGATGATGTTGCAGCTGTAGGCTGTAGACATCGAGGCTTTCCGACTCCAGTATTTTGCATTGTGGCTCACAGGATCAACCTTCCAACATTACCACTGCCGGTGTTTTCAGGCAGTTTCCCGAGCAAGTCGCAGCACTTGCATGTAGGCCTTTAGGCCATAGACCGGTGTCAAGTTATGTTTGCTGGAGCAACCCATGACAAATCCATGTCTTGTCACGGCACGGTAACATCATAAGATTTGATGACGATATGCACAACTGCAATATTGACTTTTCGATGTGGAGGACGTTACAGGCGGTTTTGACAACACCTGTTTTTTCAGATTGGGCCCAGCATGGAGCGCGCCGATGACCGAGATGGGTAATCGACTCTCATTTGCGGAGGCTCGGTGCTTTTACCCCCAACCGGCCGAATTATTGTTACTTACATGGGTAGGTTTGGGGTGCATGCATCGTGAATGTATTTGTGTCCGCCGGTGTTCGTGCGTATGCACATAATCGGAGGCGCAATCAGCAGAGCCACGCACATGCAAAAATACAGTAAGCCTGCATGAGTGAGAAAGAGAGGAAGGAAGGAAGAAAGTGAGCAAGCCAGCAAGTCAGAGTTAAAGTGCGCATGTGTGTGGGTATGTATGCATGCATGCATGCATGTATGTATATATGTATGTAGGTGTGGATGGCGGGATGGCTAGCTGGATAAACCGGTGCGGGAAGCATGTGGTGTTGCACAAGGTGGCAGGCATGTTTGCTTGGGAGACAGAAAGAGAGACTAACAGACACACAGACAGAGACAGACAGAGAGACACAGAGAGAGACAGACAGACAGACAGACAGACAGACCGACAGAGAGAGGCGGAGAGAGACAGAGAGAGGCAGAGACAGACAGACACAGACAGACACAGACAGACACAGACAGACACAGACAGACACGAGCAGACACAGACAGACACAGACAGACAAAGACAGACACAAACAAACACAGACAGACACAGACAAACAGAGACAGACACAGATAGACACAGACAGACACAGACAGACAGAGACAAACAGAGACAGACAGAGACAGACAGACAGAGATAAACAGCGAATGACAGAGACTGACAGAGACAGACATGGGCAAACAGTGACAGACAGAGAAGGACAGAGATAAACAGCGAATGACAGAGACTGACAGAGACAGACAGAGCAGACAGAGACAGACAGAGATGGACAGAGGCAGACAGGGAAGGACAGAGACAGACAGAGAGACAGGCACACAGGCAGACCGGCAGACCGGCAGACCGGCAGACCGGCAGACAGACAGAATCTGCGTTGTTCGTTTGAGCCATGGGTTGTTCATTAGCGCACATCCGGAGCTTCTCACCCGCGGCAGAGGAGCCGTCTTCCGACCGTGAAGCTGAGAAGCCAGACAGTGGAGAGGCAGAGGGGGATGTGCCGTGGATGAAGCATGCAGAATAATGATCAGTCGGGTCGGGTATGACGGCATAGCTTGGCATGGGCCATGGGTGAAACGAAGTTAAGACCTTACTGGTAGGCATCTAGCCAATGTCCTATTGCATTCAGTGTCGCCGGATGAGTGATCCCGAATACCAAAGAACCAGCGATCCAGGGATCCAGGCTTTCGCTTGTTTAAGAGAACCCCCGCACATAGTTGGTCAATCCTTTGGGGAGCAACTTGACTTCCCCAGGAGCTGGACACCACACCTGCGCGTGTGCGAGAGCAACTACTCTCCAGCCTCCAAGTCTCTGAGGAGGATGTCGGAAGGCTGCTGACCCTCTGCTTGTTAAGATGTTCGCAAATTTTTGAGAGCTCTGAAGTCGTCTCGTGGCATCCTTGCCAAGGAACTCAAACATGCCTTTCTGTACAAAGGGCCTAACCAGACCGCCTTTCCTTCAGTTCCACCGCTGGAAGCGAAAAATCTTCGGGGACGGACCGAACAGCTTTAGTCCAGCCTGCCTGTGTGCGTTGGGTTGCGACCCCCAAACCGCAAAAGATCCGTTCTCAGGAAGATGCCGCAGCGCTACCCCGATGGCCGGGCACATCCGAGCTGGATCGCTGCACGAAGAAACAGAGTGCCGTGGAAGCATGTTGAGCAGCGAGCTGCATTCACGTGCTTTCAGCTGCAACGGGTACATTCCTTCTGAAATGTGTCGGCAAAGTAGAATACCTGGCAGCAACATGCAGCAACCAAAAACTATTGCTGTCCAGCTGCAATCTGCAGATGACATTACGCGGAAGGATCATCAGAAGCAGCAGAAGCTTGACTCACAAGCTACGTGAGCATTCCTGACCTGGTGAAACATCAACCACATGAGTAGAGATCATCGCTCCGCTCGAATCTCGATTCAAGCGAGATACGCAAAGGATGTTCAGTTTTCGTTCGAGGCAGCCGCGCATGCCTGCTTTTCAATAGGTGACCGCCTCCCGCTTCGCAGCGGCCTGCTCTGCACCTGGCGCGCGAAGCAACCGAAAGGTGGTGGTTGCCGACATGCCCCCATGGCTGTCTTTGAGTGTTTCTGACCTTCCTCTCGTTGCACCACTAGTCACTGGTAGAATGGTACAACCCCGCTTTTCTAAGAATCCTAGCGACTACTGCGGTGGTAATCTTAAATGGGAACACACTGAGCCTATCCGAGGCTCGCCCTGCCCGAGGGCCGGGCCACGCAGGCAACACGCTTCGGTGTGCAGCACGAGGATGTCGCCAGAGAGGCGCGGCGAGGGATTACTCCCCGAGTTCCATACGAACTCGAAGATGCAAGCAGAGACAGTGAGAGACACAGGGGCAGTAAGGAAATCTATGTAAATATGAGCAGATCCATGTTTGCCCCTGCACACGTTTGAGTGCCGGTGCCCGACCACGAAAGCCCGGAACTGGAGACATTTTCCCCTCCAAGCCACTCTATTTGGACAGAGCCCCATCGGTTGCTTGCACTGCGAACCCAAAGCTCCTGCTTACTGATAGGAAATACACTCAAAAAGTGAGAACGGCAGGACTTAGTTCTCGTGCCAGGCTTACATCGCCTGGCGCCGGGCGGTTCCTGGGCTGTGCACAGATGATTGTTCAATAAACATTGTAACCCCTCAGCTTGTAAAGATGAAACCCTGTAAGGGCAGTTGCAAGGTGTTTGGTAATATTGCTTTTAACAGCAGCTGCGGATGCGCAGTTGAACAGCTGCACGCAGACATTTCAAGCACCCCCTAGCGATACTCAATGCCATAGTCATAGAGTAGAAGTGAACCTTTCACGGAAGGTTTCGGCTGAAAGGACTTTCAAAGCCCCAAGCTCGTGCTACTGGAAGCCCTAAGGAAGCCAGTGAGCAGTCTGCCTGCGAACTGGATCTCCAAGTCGAAGCTCTAGGCTCGACAACTCAAGCTGCGTTTTCAGATGGGTACATAGCGGCATGGACTTCAAAGTTGTAAGCCGTGTCGTGCTTACTGTAGTCGCAGTGTTAGTAATGGCAGCTAGTAGAAACAGTAGTAGTAGTAGTAGTAGTAGTAGCAGCAGCAGCAGCAGCAGTAGCAGCAGTAGCAGCAGTAGCAGTAGCAGTGGCAAGAGTGGTAGTGGTGGTAGTAGTAGT